AAAACCTGTGGGATACTGCAAACACACGCATAAAAGGGAAATTTATTGCATCAGATACTTACACCTGAAAAACAGAAAGGGAGTACTTCAACTACCTAATGAATCATCTTAAATAAGTGGAAAAGAAATAGTAATCCAATCCAAAACCCAGTAAGAGAAAATAACCAAAATTAAATTAGAAATAAATGAAATTGAAAACAAAAGAATCATTTACAAAATCAATGAAACAAAATGTTGGTTCTTCAAAAGATAATTAAAATTGATAAACTATTGACCAGATTCATTAGAAGCCAAAAAGTACGATCTCTGTTTAATCTCAATCAGAAATGAAAAAGAGGGAAATAACAAATACCACAATGATTCAAGAGATTATCTCTGACTACTACAAGAAACTCTATGCCCAGATATTTGACAATGTAGAGAAAATGGACAAATACCTGGAATCCCACCAGCTCCCTAGACTCAACCAGAAGGAAACAGATCTCTTAAACAGACCATATCAAGCACTGAAATTGCAGAAACAATAAAAAAGTCTCCAACAAAAAAATAATCCCTGGACCAGATTGTTTCACACCAGCATTCACACATCAAACCTTTAAAGAAGAGCTGGTATGCATACTGCAAACCTTTAGAAGGAAGGCTCCAACATGTTCTATGAAACAAACATCACCTTGTTACAAAAACAAGGAAAGTACTCACCTAAAAAGGAGAACTACAGACCAATTCCACTAATGAATATAATATTGGAGCAAAAATCCTCAATAAAATCCTAGCAAATAGATTATAGCTATACATTAAAGAGAGATTATACTGTATGATCAAGTAGGCTTTATTCTAGGCATGGTTTAGCATACAGAAATCCCAAATGTAATTCACCATATCAATAGAAGCAAAAACAAAGGCCATGTAATTCTCTCAATAAATGCAGAAAAAGCATTTGACAAAATATAGCATTCTTTTCTAACAAGAACACTTAAGAATATGGGCATAAATGGCACATTTCTTAACCTGATTGAAGCCATGTATGAGAAACCCACAGCCAATATTATACTGAGTGAACTGAAAGCTTTTCCACTTAGAATTGGAACCAGACAAGGATATCCTCTATTGCCACTACTAGTCAACATAGTTCTGGAAGTTCTAGCTGATGCAATCAGGCAAGAAGAGGATATAAAGGGCATCCAAATGGAGGCAGAGGATGTCAAACTCTTGCTCTTTGCCAAAGATATGATCTTAGAAAACCCCAGAGAGTCAACTGCAAGAATTCTGGAAGTAGTCAAGAAGTATGGTAACATCTCAGGGTAAAAAACCAATGTCCACAAATCAGTAGCCTTTGTGTGTGCCAATAATAGACAACTTGACAAGAAATTAAGAACATAATTCCCTTCATAGTAGCTTTAAAGAAAAGGAAATACCTAGAAATATACCTAACAAAAAAGGTGAAGGCTCCCTAGAAAGAGAATTATGAAGCCATAAGAAAAGAAATACGATTTGAAGAGAAACCAGAGTATTGGAAAATGTTCTTCTTAGCAAAGTATCACAGGAATGGAAGAAAAAGTATCCAATGTACACACACCTATTATGAAACTAATTTAAACCTTTTTATATGAAGGTATAACCTAATAACAACCTAAGGATATGGGGGGGGGAGGGAGGGGGGAGAGAATGGAGGG